ACATATTGACAGCTTTGTATACCTTTGTATTTACCTTTTTGCTGGTGGCGCTATCAGCAAAGAAATTTCTCTCCATATCGTCAAAGCCCGGTCTGCGTTTGTTAACCGGCAACACTTATGACGTCGTCGGGATGCTTCTGACTTGGCAAAGGGTCGTGTTTACAATGCCACAGTTCGGGCGATGTTAGTATATATCCGCGAGTCATGGCCAGTTCGCGTAAATAACATGCACAGGCTCTTGGTCTTCGATAATGGGTACTTGAGGATAATTGCGTATGTATGGTAGTAACAGCGTATCTTCAACGGTGGAGCCAGACCTCGTGTCTTAGGGGATGCGAGTATTCTTTCCAACAAGCTACTTTTACTGCGCCAGTTAAGATGGATAGGCCACTTTCTGCCTACGTCAGCTAAGCGTTTGCCCTGTCGCACTCCATTTCCTCGTACAGTTCTCAACTGGAAGAGACCACGTGGCGGTCATCCATCCACCTGGCGACAGCATATGAAATCACTGACTTATCATCTTGCTGCCGTTGCGTCCAAATGTCTCCCTGGTTAGGGACCTAAGGATGAATCTCAGTACTTAGCCTTATATACTTTTGTATAGTAATTTTTTCTTGCATAGTAGCCGGCTGGTAGCTTACCGGAACGACGCCCATCCCTTACCGGTAGCTCAGCTGGCTTGCACCTGTTGCACTTCTTTTCTCCCCTTTTTTCTTCTATGTATTGTGGCACAGTAGCTGAGATGTTTCCCACCTCTAGGTAACGTGTATACTGATGATGATGACGATGATGATGATGATGATGGTGATGATGATGATGATGACCTAAGGATGAAGAGTGCCGATGGCTGGAAACAATTCAGGAAATGGCTAGCAACCAAAACCAGTGGCAGATCTGTGTACATACTTGTTTAGTTTCAGACAGTTAACTTTAACATTAAAAAATAACAACAGCAAAAAGCGATGCTGCGACGACTCCACCTGTCATCCGCTGAATTTCGTGGTTTTGTCTGGTTCTATGTCTACTTACTAGACATACTACTACTACTATTACTACTACTACTACTACTACTGTCACCGCTCTGTCACTTCTGCAATTATCCAAATGTTCCGTCGGCGTTGTTGCCTTTCAACAACATGTGACTCAATAGTCCCTTGTAGTAAATCGAACCGTCTACGCAAGTGTCGGCCGAACATGAACTCTACCGGTTGTCTCGTTTGGCATGTTCCGGCACGCGAACATGGAACGATCCACACGCACACGCAGTGGAGCATTTGGTTGTTTTGTTAGTATACTTTTTACTGTCTGTACCGCTCTCTCTCTCTCTTTCTGCCCACCCGTTTGAGGTTGAATGGTAAGGTGCAGTAGTTGTGTCTAATGCCGTTCGAGCTAAGAAGGGTTGAAAACTCGGCACTGGAAAATGCTGGTCCATTGTCAGACACTAATGTTTCTGGGAGACCAAACGTTGCGAACGTTTTACGCTGTTTAGTTATGGGGCTAGTTGAAGTTGCTAAGTCAAGAATGTGAGTTTCAATGCACTTAGCATGGGCGTCACCAATCAAAAAGATCATCTGAGTCTCGAAAGGGCCGGAACAGTCCATGTACACTTGTCTGTAGGATGTTACTAGCCACTTCCAAAGCTACATCGGCGCACGGGGATCGTTGAACACCTCCGCATTCCCGTTTGAATCATATTTGCAGCATTTACGGTCAATGGGGAGCGGTGTCGTCTAATTCGAACCGCCATACATAAATGCGAGCTAGTGACTTTATGTTGTCAGCTTCTGGGTTCGCGTCATTTAGTTCATCGAAGATACGTGATGGAAATCTTCGTGCGCTCCACAGTAAACCTCCGTTTTGGAGGCTGAGTTCAGACTTCCTATTACGGAAAAGCACTAGATTTGAGCGTAGCGTTTTATAAATGATAAAACAGGATCTCTTTCAGTTTTCTGACGTATACCCGTTGACATGACCGGAGTATCATTGAGATGCTGAATCAAGTTTACAAGCTCTTGTTTAGTAAACCCTCTCTGGTTTCGCAAGTCGTCTACTGACATCAGATCTTGTATTTTGCCGGCTGAAGACATACTGAATACTTTATGTATATGAAAATGAGGGACCAACGAACCATTTTGGGTGAAACCATTTATTGAATTCCCTTCTCGTGGCCAAGGAGGAAAACAAATGGTTTATGATCCCTGTGAATCACGAAGGGTCGGCCAAATAGATATAAGAGAAATCGAATAGTGCCGAAGGTAACAGCCGCTGCATCTCGATTAAGCTGCGAGTAACTTCTTTCTGCTGCTGTCAGTATTCTTGAAGCATAAGCAATGTGTCACTGGTAATTCGTGTGGAAAACAACTCCAAGACCTTAAGGTGCAAATAAGTGGCTTTTGTTATTCTTACTGCACATCTGCGTATGCCAAAAGCTTTCTGATTGCCTTGCAAGCATTTTCATGAATACTGCACCAATTCCAAGGTTGGCTTTTAGGTAAGCGTTGTTGTAGCGGATGTAGATGTGTTGCTGCCTTCGGTGTGAACCTTAAAAACTGGGTAACGGCACCCAAGCGTGACTGCAGTTCATGAACATTTTTGGGTGCTGGCGCTTCAAGTAGTACTCTTGTCTTTTATTTTAACGGGCATAATCCTTCTCATGATAACTGATACCCAAGGTACTGTACACTCGGTACGAGGTATTCACACTTTCCACCAATTTGGCGTCTGATGCTCGTTTCTGGACGACACCCAAAGTTTGCACGTGTTCGCGGTGGTAGTTCGACCAGTAACCAAGATGTCATCGAAATATGCACATGTGTTTAGTGTGTCCTTCACCAATGTGTCAATAATACGCTGAAAGATGGCGAGGGGCCTAATTTGTCCCATGTGGCATGCATATGTAACGGAATACTCCGAGGTGAGTGCTAATGGTAGTGTAGGCGCAGGTTTCCTTCTCGAGTTCAATGTGTTGCTCATATCTAGTTTGGTAGAATGCTCGCTCCAGGGGAGAGAAGCCTAAATGTATTCACCCTTTGCAAACGGATATCTGTCTAGATGTAATGTCCGGTTGATCGTCACCTTGTAGTCTCCACAGATTATTATGGCACCATCGCTCTTCAATACTGGCACTATAGGGGCTGCCCAGTCCGAATATTGGAAATGTTCTACTGTACCCTCCAGTTGGAGTTGGTGCAGCCCACTCTCGTCTTCCTTACAAAGAGCTTAGGGAACGGCTCGGGCTTTCCGAAACCTCGGTATCGCCTGTGGCTTCAACACTAACCTTGCGACTGTGTCGAAAGCTGGTGCTCACGAGAAATAGTCGTGCATATTCACGCGTGTAGCACTCGCTCAGTATTGTCATTGTTGGGGTCTAAATGACGTTGATTACCTAGATGCAGCTCATCAGTTTTTAGCTCACCAGTCAGCACTATTGTATCCTTATTTCCTTTGTGAACGAGTAATTTCTTCAGTTGACGATAGAAATCATCTTTCACCGAGTCAGTTCTGCAGTTTATAGCGGAGTACACTGCAGTTACGAGCAGGTACCTTTTGTTACGGTGCGACATCGAGGCTTTAAGCGAGGAAGCCAATCTGATAACGCACCTCCGGATACTGGCTGGAATCCAGTCGATGAGAGCAGGTTCAGCAATGGAAAAGTGCCTCCAATATTACATGAATACTATCTTAGAGTAAGTACTAAGCTCGATCTTTGCAGATATGTTTGCCTAGGCAGCAGTATCGATCGATGATGTCTGGTGTTCGAGTAGATGCTTTCTGTTGACTCAGTTGCCACAAATTGCTTACGTTGAGACATGTCAGTTATAGCGGAGATCGAGGACTCACAATAGAAGCGGATGAACTGAGGTTGTGTGCTTGGTGTGACATGAATTTGTCCGCTGGATCGGAGCAACACTTTTCGATTTCTTGTACGCCAAAACTAGTAGGCCAGCGATTATCGATGCAACATTTGAAGAGCCAAGAACTAAGAGGAGTAAAAAGAGGGGAATAAGAGTTAAGTTGGAACGAGACGATAAGGATGAAAACGCGTGAGGAATACGAAAACGTGAGGAAATTGGCAATAGTATCTTCATCCCTTATTTGCTCTTGGAGTACTGGCCGTGTCTCTGGTTTGCGACACGCAGTCTCGATTGTGGCTACAGTCTGTTTTGAAGCAAACATATGCCATTTCGATCAGTGAGACCGCACCTGAAGCGCGGAGTTTCAGAACTGCTCTCTCCCAAAACTGCACTCTGCAACCGACCGGTTTCGTCCTGATTTGGACTCGTCAGGTAGAGATAGCTTGAACTTCACTTCGGATGTGGTCCCAGTGATCAAAATGGCATAGGTTCGCTCCAAAGCAAACTGTAGTCCCAAAGCAGATTTTGTGTTGCAATCCAGACACCCAGCGTGTACTTCAAGACCAAATAATGCGCTTCTAACCGCTGTGTCAAGCGCTGATGTGAAACTGGCTTAGTGCTCAAGCCGAAGACCACCAACCACTGTGTCGGGTTCCCCTCTCAGCTCAATCCGTTTTTACCAGACGAGTGCAAATCTGGTCGAAGCCCTTCCAGTCGTAGAGTGCAGCGTTGGGAGAGAACAACACCGAAACTATCCTCGTTCCTATCCATCCTGCTGGATGCAGCAGATAAGACACCATTCATTCTCCTCTGCAATAACCGGTGCTTCAATAATTTGTTTGAGAAATAGTTCATTATATCGAGCTTGAGTGTTTTTGTAGCCCGTTTACGGTTTCATGGCAGCGGGGAATGCGCACATAGCACTAATGTGCTACTTATGTCTTCACCGGTCTCTGCTTATCTACTTCATAATGCACGGCGGTCTACACCATGGTTACGTCTAGTCCCTGCTTATGTTCATATGGATTCTGTAGGGGACTTAATATCCTCGAATTAGTTGGGACGTCCTAAGAGGTTTCTTAAAACAAAGCATTGGGAAAAAGCCTTTCATCGGAAAGGCCCTTTGCAATTAATTGCATACTTTAGTTTAGCCTCTGTTTCTATTTCAGCACCTTAATGTCTTCTCCTATTCAATCCTCCGATTCAGGCAAAGGCCGCTGTAGCCCACATGGAACTACATGGTGCAATTGCGGATGACGTTACAGAGTTCATTTTTCGTCCTATTCATGCTTGGCGTGATCAAAAGTTACCCGTTTCACACAAGATTGGTCTTACTCACCAGGCATTCATTTTGGGTTACGTTGCCGCTTCATTTGGCATGGCGGGTGACCTGTCCTATGCTTTGGAGACTCCCGACGCGCTTAATGCAATCGGGTCGACCTATCCGGATGACAGTGTGCTAACAGCATGGACAAATCGACCCCCAAAAGAGTGGGCGCACTACGTATCTCATTCGCTTCAAACCTATCCGGATTTTCATTTTGACCTTATACCACATTCAAAGCCACCACACTCCGTACATTCGCAGACAGCGGACGATATGGTTAACATGTACTTACACCTCAACTCACAAAATGCTCTCCCCACTTTTTGCAGCGCCTCTGTCGATCGGCGGACTCGTCAAACGATCCAGCATCTGCTCGCGCGCTGTTTTCTTGCTTGCTTTTATCATCTATTTGCACGTTCTTATTCCAGGCTTACTTGATTTGTACTCTTGTGTGATGGCATCCTTTTTTCGTTTCATCGTTCTTGATTGTTCGCTCATGTTTTGTCCGATGGTATGACCGCATAACGTCTTTTTGTTGCTAACAAGGTGCACTACTCGCTGCAGCGGTTTTCCATGTCCATGACAGTCCAGGAGTCTCGGTCAGGAAGTGGCGATCGTGTCTTCAGCCAAGAATATAAAACTATATGTGGTGTTTGATGGTCTTCCTATGAGGGTGTATCATTTCAGATTCTTCTAAGTGCTCGTACATCTGTCTTGGTAGGGATATGCTCACAAACATTCCATTTTAACGGCGTTTTTGCACAACTCCGGCATTTTTGGCGCTCGTTGATGACTACACTTATGTGGTAACTACAAGGGTGCTTATCTATACAAACTGTACTGGTAATATTGACCTCATCCACCCTCCTTTTGACTAATTTCAGCTTCTATCAAAGTCGTTCCGTTCTTAGGTTTTCACTTTGCTTCTTCCACTTTCGTTGGGCCGTCGTTCAGCTGCCAAGCGCTACGTGCCGTTGAATCTGGTCCTTCAATTCGCTAAATCAGGTGGTCATGCTGATAACTGCAGTTGTCTCTTGCACCATAAGGACCAGAAGATAGACGTCCATGATCTGAAGTCCATCGATAGCACGAACAGACTGTACGTAAAAGGACTACGCCTGCTTTGCGCACTTAGGCGCAGCTTCTGTTCTTGCTTTGAAGGGATTGGCATTCGTTTTTTCTGTTCCATGCTAAGACCGGTGCTTGAGTGTGGCTCACCCGCCTATTGTCCGATCACAATAGGTGACGTGCAGAGACTGGAACGGGTCCAGCACGTGTGGTACCAGGCTCATCCCCAGTTTACGGGGTATGTACGAGGACCGATATAGGAGATTAGGGCTGTATACCATGTCATATCGTCGGCTTCGACTTGATCTCATAATGACGCACCTTTGATGTGGAGAAACTCGAGGTAGTTGATCAGTTCACTTGGGAGCCACATCAGCAACGATGGGTGCACAGCAACTGAAGTCGGTTCACCTATTACAAACGGCAGAACTGCCTTTTGCTTCTTCGACATCTTTGTCGACAGAAAGGATTTTCACTCTGTCTGAAAGGTTGTTTACAAGGCAACACTGAGGGACGTCCTACTCCACTGGAGTGAGACTGCCACTTCGGTTTGAGGATCTGATACGCCTTCATGTCTTTGATCATCGCTGTCTGCGGAGCATTGCTGGTATCGGATGGCATCAGCGTGTCCGCAACGATGATGTGGGCAGGCGAGTACTGGACAGTGATAACCAAGCTAGTTCCTTAGAACAACAGATAGCACTGGATAAGTTGCGTTGGTTTGGGTAGGTACTACGTATGCTTGGTCACTTCTGACCGAGGATGCCCATGTTTTGTGTGCTAGATGCATGGTGACGCAAAGCCCGAGATGGGCCAAAGTTGACTTAGCAGCGGGAAATGAATTCTCTGATGACCAAAGTCAGTGCCGTCTGTCCGTCTGACCTTACAGGCTAGAGTCCACGTTACCCGCCTTGTGTTTGGCTCGAGACTTTACAGAATATGGTTTGCAGCGGATACCAATGGCGCGTCTGCTGTCGTCTTCTAGTCGGTCTGTGTGTTCAAGATGCGTTTGGTGCTGAGTTATCTGCGGGTCAATGGCTGATTATGATGCGAGGCAGTGAAACCCGCAAGGAGGCTGTCTTGCTTTTGCCACCTTGGGTTTGCATGATAGCCACTTGTTTGTGACGGTATGTTGTTGACAAGATGTAGTCGCCTTGACCCTGAATGTTTGCTTAGATTGTTAAGATTTTCCGGTAAACCCTACTTCTCTCCCGCTTATTATGCTTTATTCCATAACTCATCATGGTTGTATGGCAGCGAAGCATCACTTCAAATGTCTGATGTACTACTGTCTGTGATGACGATGACTTTTGCCTACGTGGCATTTGGTATTATCACATTAACTCTGCGAGTGTTGGCACTTTATAGGCCCCTTGATAACTTCATCTGTGGGTTTTCTAAAAATTTATTCACGTACACACACGTCAGAAAAAGCAGTATTGTGAAACCCTAATCGCCGATGATTTCCAACACTCTCATGGTTAGCTGACTGCTGCCATATTCTTTTGACTCCGATGAGTTCATCGACTTGATCTTTGACGAATGCTGTAAGAGGCGCATTCTCTTTGGACCGGTTTCACATTGGTTCCTGTGTTGATCTAAGTTCCTGTGGGTGCTTTTGACGTCATCACGCTTTTTCGAAATATGTTTAAATTTTTGCTGTTTATTAATCTTGTGCTTTTCCAATTTCCGTACACGGCATCACGCTACTTTGCTTTCCTTTACCTAGACTAAAGTGCCTATTATCACACTCTGGCATTTGCATCGCGTTGTTCGACTGTTGCTTGATGAAATTAGCGGTAGTAACTAACTTCGTCATGGTGGATCACTTCTCACGGAGACAGGAGAGGCTGGGAGTTACTCCCGCAACCTGCTTTTAACCGTCCTGCTATGAAACACCAGCGACTGATATTTGGTAGCTACTTATTTTTCATCCTCAACTAATCTATGAGGCTGTGCCCCCCTTCCTCTGGGAACTCTTCCGCCAAGGGCATGCGACTAACTCGTAATTTATATACTGTTGTGAGAAGATCAGCAACAGTAGCTTAGGAACCCCAGGATGCATGCTAATGGTGCATCCGGGATTTGTCAAATCATCCATTTTTCTCCCTTTCAGCGTTTCATCACCACCACTCATTACTCATGTTGAAGAGCCTTGGTCCTGCGGTTCACAAACCACCGCACGATTTACAAACATCCTTCGTGGTTTGTCTGTGCGTTTATCTCTCAAACGAGTTTGATCTCGTAATGTCTTAGTCACCAATGCGTTACTCTTCTTGTACATGGTAGGTGGTACGTGCTTTGGATATAGTAACAAGTGCGTAGAGAATGCAGGTATTAGAATTGTTTGGTGATGGAAGAGAATAACGGCTAGTGGAGCAGAGAATTGCGTCGTCGCGGGCCTAGCGCGTTTGCGTGTGCCCCGCGTTCCTGCTTCTCTAAATTTAACCCAATTACGATACTGCGATGGTACTGTACTGTATTGTACTGGTATTGTATTGTACTGTTGCTCGTGAATCCCATCATTGCTCTGCTCTCCTAGCGCTCAGCACAGCGACTAGCATGTGGACATCCTTGACATACTACTCGATCACCGGAGCATAGGGTGCAGCGGTTGCGTTCTGGACGTAGGCCATTAGTGAAAAGTGCTAACCGTTTGGGATGCTCGTTACTCAGTTCTGGACTTCGTTTCTAATGCCGCTACATCTGAAATGGTCAGTAAAATGGTAGCAATGATCCATCTATCTGGCTAATGCAAAGAAAGTGTTTCTTCCTATCCTGTAATGGCTCCTTGTACGCACAGTTGATGTACTCGGCAGATATTACTCGTCTACCTTGACCCATTCGAGTCGTACTACGGTTGATCCTCCGTCCCATTATGAAATCCGTTCAGGGGTCTTTCGTCTAGTTTTGAAAGTGCGAATTATATTTTACTGTTCAATAAAATGGAATGACGGAGAAGGCGCCTTTTTCTAGCAGCATTAAGCATAAATAAATAAATTCATATATTCCCCGACAACATGTATTATCCTTAGATGAAGACGATCATTTCTGCACAGAAGCAGCGTTATTGTTTCCGTGCCGTGAGATATACGAACCAGTTTTCGGGTTAAAAATGTTCTCATCCTCTCCTGTTTAGCAAACTTAATGTGTTTCATAAATCGACGATCTGATTGCTTGCAGTGTGTTCATTCTGTGCGATTGTTTATAACACTGTCTTTCTCCATTTTCGTAGCGAGACTCGGGAGCATTCAGTGGTCGGTTGGGAAAGAGTTGGTAACATAGGCACAGTCTTACATTGCATGGGTAATGGTGGATGTAGAGTTAGTAAGCTGTGGGCTTCTAATACGTGATGTTTTCATGTTTGAGAGAGTTTACAGCCAGGTGTGCTCGTGGTCCTTGCGCTCTCAACCCGGGACTCGAGAGCATCTGACTATGACCAACTCTTTGTTAGTGCCTTTGGGCTCAAGTCATTCGTCGTCCGCCTTGCTTTCGTTTCTAGGCGATTGCGCGCGCAAAAATGGCACGGTGAGGTAAACTCAGCAGGTATGCTGAGCAAGTGCCCAACCCACCGTAGCATTTGCAGTGAAATTATGCAGCCTAGCGGATGGCAGATTCTATCTGAAGGGAATATTCTTAGACTAGGTCGTCATTACTTATGTGATGTCGCCATAGTACACCAACTATGTTTCGAAGTCAGCAGTGATCAAAAACAACCAGTTTCTAAACATCTTTTGCACGAACAGGCAGGATCACTCTCACTGTAGCATTGTAGACTCGGTCTTTCAAAGAGACTAAAGTTGAGTCGACACCAGGGAGGGCGGAGATTAGCAAACGCAATCCGAGACTTCATCATCATCATTATACATGTCAGCTAGAGGTGGTGAAACACCCGCTATTGTACCGCAATACATAAAGGAAATACATACCTACATACAATACATAAAGGAAAAATAAATACGACAGTTGCATGCCAGCTGAGCTACCAGCAACGGATAGGCATCGTTCCGGTAAGCTACCAGCCAGCTATTAGGCAAAAAGAAAAAAATTATTATGTTTTACCCTAGGAAATGAGATCGTAGATGGAGAGAGGAGGCTAAAAAAGATGGGGAGGGACAAAGAAACTCACAGCACAAACGCCACTGAGGTCGGCTCCTTGCCATGTCAGCAAGTGTATCCAGCCAAACGTGTTCACCGTCTTTTGGACCCCAACCAGGGAGCCGTGAAGCTCCAACCGAGGCTAGCTCCGAAGCGAGGGACTTCATTCCTCTGGACCAAGTCATCGCTTGGCCACCTCCCCTCTTCTTCCACCCACATCCCCGGGGAGCAAACAACGCACGTCGAGGGAGTCGGTGGGCTGGCATGCGCAACACATGGCCCAGCCATCGGAGCCTGGTACGTGAAATGACGGTGTTGAGCAGTTCAGTTCCTTTTCCTGTGCCGGAAACAAGGAGTCGAACACGCTCGTTACTCACGCGGTGTTCCCACCAGATGTGAGCCAAACTGCGAAAGCACCGATGATCGAACGTAACTAGCCTCTTCATGTCCGCCGATCTTAGGGGCCGGGTTTCGCAACCGTAGAGTAAGGTCGAACGTACCGCTGCATTGTACACTCTACCCTTCAGGGCGAGAGTGATGTCGCGCCGCCGCCATAGGTGGCGAAGGTTAGCAAAAGCACTTCGAGCTTTCGCTATACGATTCGTGATCTCGTCTTCGATCCCAATGGCGCTGATACAACTTCCCAGGTGATTGAATTTCTGAACGACTTCTAGCTGATCCCCACCAAGGGTCAGCACAGGAGGCGATCC